CCCCAAAACCCCAAAACCCCAAAACCCCAAAACCCCAAAACCCCAAAACCCCTAAAAGTGCTGGTTTAGTTGAAATTGAGTAATTTAGTTGAAATTTAGTGAGGTTGCTGCTTAAAGCAAGTTGTCTAATCTTTCAATGATTTCAAGTCTTCTCTTTTTACGTAGGTGTTCGGGGCTGGAATAGAGATCATGAATCCTCTCTCCCAGTTCCTTCTCAGGCTTAGGTGTAAACGTCGACAGGCTCATATCCAAATCAAAAGTCTTATTGGTGCTATCCCATCTGTTAGACTTCAAATCGTTCCTCCCAGTCACCTTAGGAGCCATCTGGGCTCTCCTCTCTGTAGGTATTCTTTGGACAATTGTGATATGTTCAGAAGGGAGCTGAGGTTTGGTAATATTTTTGGTAATAGTGATCTCTTTATTAATTACTTGTTCACTCAAACCTTCTTCATTCTCCTCTCTCTGTGTGGCATTCATAGAACTATCACTAGCCTTGTCACATTGTTGTAGCTCAATATTCAACTCAGAATAACTAGATTCACTCTCTGAGTACTGAATGGTATCCAATTTCTCAGGTTTCACATTCAGCTCCTGTTCATACTCACTTGCATTTTGTGTTCCTGTTTCTCTTCCAAAAATTGACTTTCCAAGTGTTCTGCTAGAATCGCAATGGTCCAAAACACACAGTTTTTGATGTGATTTAGGTGATAAATGTTGGAAAAATTGGCAATGAATGTCAAGCGACTGCTGAGGATTTTCAACCGTCTCAAAGATAGACTTAGGAGTCTCATAGAAATTGCTACTCTTGTCCTCAAAAGAGTCCTCTGTGATTATCTTAGTCACAGAATCTACTTTCAGTAGGGAAAAATTATAGGTATTCACTGATTTCTGAACTTCCTTCATAGGTGACTCATTGGCTCATTGTTTATCATGGAGCTTTGAGGAAGAATCACTCTGCATCTGTGCAAGCTTTGGGTTTATCCTCGTCATCAATGGCTTAGAGGTCTTGGTGGGAGAAGCTTCTCCTGAATCTACCTTGTTGTTAGTTTCTCCTTTTAAATGGAAATCCTTTCTTCTCTCAATTTTTAAAGCCGTTTTTGACTTATCTATATTTTATTTCTCATAAAAATTACTCAAAAGACTTGAAAACAACTTTTTGGCCCCTGATTTCTTGTATAGGCCAGAATTTATGGTTTTAACAGGCTTCATTTTAACTGTGTTGATGCTGCTATTTCCCCTTTCAGATGAAATGTTCTATAGAGTTTAGAACAAATACTCACTGTCTTGTGATAACTGCACGATTTATCCTCCAAATGGAGTCTATTTTCTCCTTGTTTGGATTGAGAAGCTTCCTTCTTGTTCCTAATTCCTTTGGATACGTTAATGTTGCCAAGCATCCTTCTAGTAACTGATCTATTGTTAATACTAGAGACATCAAAAATAAAAACTTACTTGTTTCCATTGGTTTCAACAACAGATGAATAAGTTTTCCTCTCATTCTCTTCATTAGGATTCTCCTTTTGGCCATAAAACTCAATAGCTGCCTTCAGATATCAATATAGAATCCTTAATGACGAGTCTATTTTTCCTCTGAGCTCAATTTCTTGGAACTCTTCAGCCAAATCTTTCATAAGGCGCTTGTCAAAACTGCCGTTGTCAAGATTATTAGCAGCATTGACCACCTCAGTCATGACTGAGGTGTTGTGCTTGGAGATGTATTTTCACAAGCTACTCCAACTCATGTAGGTAGAGACTTTTATCCTCCTATCCTCTGGCTTGAATACATTCAGTAGCATGCAGAACACCTGCATTGCCTTCTTGGTTTCAGGACTAGATCGTGTGCATAAGTTATTGAGGTGTTTCATAGTGATATTCCTTCCTGCCTTGAGAAGATCAAGCTTGAGCCTCTTTTCTTGAGGGCCGATTGGAGCTTCTCTTCCAATTCCTCTAAACTGTTTTCGGAAGTGTGCCTTGAAATTATTTCTGCATGGGGTTTTGTTAGTCTTTCGATTTTGATGAGAAGTCTCTCTATTGAGGTCTTTCCTAGAGTAATGCCCCACAAACGATTGGTTTTGCCCTCTCTTTTTCTGAGAGACTTTTCCATAATTGAAGGAGCTGTCTAATTCTGAACTAACAGTACATCCTCGACTAGTAGGCTCTTTAGAAGCAGCATTTGATCTCATAGCTCTTGTCCTTCTGACTGATTCTTCATGATTAAAAATTGGTTTCTTGAGGACTTTCTTAGGAGTTGTGACCTCTTTTGAGAAGGAATCCAAATTATTGATCATCTCTGAGTAATCCACATATCCTGTAGCGTTTTGGATAAATGACTGACTGTTCTTGGCTCTTTCATTCAATCAATTTGCCCTCGAAAGCCCAGTTCCACTCTTTGATCTTTGCAACATAGTTTTGGGTTGCCCAGCCTTACCAGGAGTAGAGGGCATCTTTTTGAACCATGAAACATTAGAGATCCTGGTTAGATTATTCGTGTTTCTCTTATTCTCTTGACTAGTATTTCCCTCCTTGATTCTTCTCTGGACCATCTGAAGAGACTTTTGCACACTTGACTGCAAATCTCTCAGCTCTTCCTGCTGTTTCAGAAGGATTTCGAAGTCCTTGCCTTTGGTTATCTCTGAAGCTGCTATATAAGTGCATTAGTGGAGATTAGAATGATTAGAAATATTCAGAAAACTTCTGAGATTAACACCTTGCCATGTTTATAGAACTATTTGTTTTCAACTTACCTGCCTCAAAATTTTGCGTAAAAGTCGTGGAAGAGGCCGAACTGCCATAAGAACTTGAGTCCTGAGGCACGTAATTATTGATTTTATAAAGCTTCTTGTCTCCATTCCAAGCCTCACTACTCTTAGTGTTTGAAAAGTAATCTCCGGTTGGCTGCTGAAGACTTGAAGCCTTGCTTAATCTAACGTTTTGCATTCTCAAATAATTTTTAACTAATCTAATAAAGAGCAGTAAAAGGGGTTTTGGGGTTTTGGGGTTTTGGGGTTTTGGGGTTTTGGGG